GCTGCTAGAGATTAACAAAGAGCTCTTTCAATCGCCTCAACGATCAGGTTCGCTACTCAGATCCCTAACTTCATTTCATTTGTCTCGATTTTCCTTGAAGAGAGTGCTCAAGTTCCCTGATTTCAAATTTCACATCTTCGTGAAATTATTTAGGGCTCCAACGAATTCGTCAGAATCATTTTCGTTTATGTTATTAGGAATTGCAATCCCTTACAAGCCATTCGCATGCAGTCTTTCAATAAAGTTAATTCTCTAACAGAACAAGTTTCGAGATTGGACATTGACGACGACGATATGGTCCCTGGAGCCACTCAAACATTTGAATGCAAGTGTGGTATGCCTCTGTGCATCTGTGTAGTAGCTCCTTCCCAATCAACCAACCCACCGGTTAAATTCTCTTTTTCCTTAAAAATCTATATTACTTGCAAAAAATATGTTCCTCTCTTTTGAAAAAAAAAATGCTTTTTGTAACAGCCAATCCGTGCTCCTGTCGCTCTCCTCCCTCAGTCATCAGATCCCAAACCAAAGTCAGAGACTTTAGCAAAAAGTAAAGGTTCCACTTCCACCAGCAATGCTAGGTACGTTAGCATTTACTCCCTAGTATTAAGGCAATGTTCATTTCGATGCTTTATAGTCTTTGACTTTGCTCCATGAGCTTTAGACATGAGACAAAGCTGTTAATATTCTCAGGTCTGCTCTAAATACTGGACTAGACAACCCCCAAAGAGACTATGAAGTCAATGGGGAGGTAACTCTCTTGCTTCTCATTACGTCGATGATCATGGTTTCCTTGTCTAACAGATTATTCATAGATTTTATGGAATGTGTTTTGTACAAAGGGATTAAGGGAAGCAATTAAGAATGGTGACACTGCTGGTGTGAAAAAGCTACTTAAAGAGGTACTGTAAGTGGGATTGCCAGAAATAGAATATCGTAATCCTAAATCTGTTTTTGTGGGATTGCCAGAAATAGAGAAAGACTAAAACTGTAAAGTGTTGCAGGGCGTGGATGCAAATTACCGTGACAAGCAGGGAATGTCAGTGCTTCATCTGGTAATCTTCCCGCTCCTTATCCCTTGTCTTTTCTTCACTCTGTGATCGATTTGCTTGATAAGTCTAATAAATATACTGATTACATAATGTTTTGCTTCCACAGACTGCACTGTTCAACAAAACTGATATTGCGTTGGTGTTAATGGAACATGGAGCAAGCCTTGAGAACAAAAATGCACAAGGTTTTTCCACTGCTTCACAAATTTTGCCTTCATAACGTGTCTAATCAATTACCTGCAGAAAGCATGTTAACGAGAACTATTGTAGTTGGTTGTTCGTACTATTTTGTGATGGTTGTGAATACTTTCTTTTCGAACTGGAAATGCTCTTGTTTTGCTCTAAGTATACAATTTGGTATCCTTCACCAGGAGAAACACCGCTAGATTGTGCTCCTGCGACACTGCAATACAAGATGCGGGAAAAGATGGAGAAGATGAAGTCGTCTTAACACTCATGCCCAGCTTTCTTTAATACAAATGAAGAAGGCAGAGGTAAAAATATATCCTCCAATGTTTTTTTTTTTCACATAGGAAAAGGTGTGTAAAGGGCAAATCGAACTTCGATTGCATTCTGCGTGCGAATTTCCAATGTTTTATGAACTTTGAACCGTCCATACAAACTTGCATTGTGTTGCAGCTAAAATATTCAGACTAATGGGATACTTCGGTCAAACGAAACGAAAAACCTTTGGCGCATTTACATCATCTTGCGTCTGGTTTCTAAAAGCAGAAAAACGAACAATACCATAGTTTTATTTTATTCATAGTGAAAAGCACCAACTCACTTCCGGTCTGTGAACACAACACAAACTTTGTCTTCAAGCCCAAAGGTTAAAGTTTTCTGATCCGGAAAAACAGTAAAAGATGGAAAGAAAAAGAAAGATGATGAAATATATGGGCTTCCTCCAATTGTCTGAAAGCCCACATTGAGATCGAACACAGTGACATCTCACACGTCCTACTTCTCATTTCTTGGTTCTTTCCTATAAAATCCAGCTCCTAGTCTAAGCAACCACACACAATGGCAACAACAATCTCTTTTTGTTAATAAACTTGTAGCTCCAAAGTTCAAGATTATCTAATCGTGTTGTTATTTCTTCAGTAGCTCTTGACAAATTCCATCAACTCGTTCAAACACCAGCTCGAAGAAGCGTAGCTAATTACATTAGATAATGATGGATCTGAAAAAGCTACGTTTCTCGAGGAGGTGTCTGAACCAGTTGATGCATATTTTGAACAGTTAGAGGATCACACTGGGATGATGTCAGTTTATCCAACCTGGCTTTGAAACTGTGTAAGTTTATGGATTTAACATTAATTTCTCATTTTATATTATTGAGTATTTGATGTGTTATTTGGGCAGTGACATTATCCCAGCTGCCTAGAAGCCTTGAGAAGGTGGATTTGAACGGATGGGAGACCTTGAAAGCAATTGCTTATCTTTTTATCCAATAGAGGAAATTTGTATTGTTTTTTCTGTTTTCTGGTCGAAAGTATTGTTTTTGTTTTCAATTGTGAAATACAAATGTATTCTTGTTTAGGAATTCTTTAGGGATATATTTAATCGCTAAAATAAAAAATAAAAATTGTACTCGTACAGATGGAATTCAATTAACTCCAACATTTGCCAAAAGAAATGATGTATAATCACTGACTTATAAATCTTTTAGCTTTTTTTGTTAACGATAAAGAAACATCACCACAAAACATTGTACAAGAATTTTCAGAATTACGCAAAAGCTTTTTAACAATGACTGGGAAAAGGTTCACCGGAATATGGCATATATGCTTCAACTTGAGCGAGCAGAGCGAATGATGCCGTGCAAGTAAGCCCCAGTCATCACGAGTGACACTACCGAGACAACTCCAGCCGGGACCACTTTCCTCGTCCTTAGGTAGCGCGATCCCATCATCCCCGTCAGTGCCGCCGACCCCACTGCATATTTACAAAACAAACCCATCATCATTTATGTTCAAGCACAAGAAAAGATATCATGTCATATAACATGTAACTTATGTACAATAGTACAAGTATCACAGCTTAGTAGAGTTTCCAGAGACCCATGTTACTCCAACATGGAAATCCAACCTAATGTAATCGAATTAAGGAGAACTTGGGACTCATCATCATAAGCTAGTTAGAGATTTGCCAAGAATGAAAATTCATTTGTTCACCAAGATTGCATACAGAAAGTAATGTAATGGCCGGATAGAAAGAGAATCCGTTACCAATGCCGATAGAGGATGCCAAGACAGGATTTCCTGGGAGCTCCGTGTAGACATAATAGAACAGTGCAGCTGATCCCCCTCCTGCAACTAGTGATATTTTGCTTCCCCGTTTCATGTAACCCATCAAACCACCAACTGCCACAACAATTGCCATGAGTCAAAACATTTTATGATACATGAATATGAATATGAATATGATTGGACAAAATTGCAGTCACTGAAACTATATGACCAAGCCGCCACAACAAGAATTCTATGATGTCAAACCTCACCACCAGATAATATCACTGTTTATAACCATCCATATCCAACACTCGCATTTTGTATACGACCCAAACTTTTGGACAACTCAAGAACCATTTCATATCATGTCGTTTACGACTAAGGCACTTGTTATTCCCACGAAATGACCTGATAACACATGCTAAACTCATAACAGAATGATAACCACACATTACAAAGCCAAGATAAATGCTTAATCAGTGACAATGATGGAGATGTAAATATATCGTGATTTGGGTTCCAAATTATCTAGTAGTTCTTTTCTTCCACAATCTTAGCCTTTCTTATCTTAAATCTATGGATTTAAGAACAACTATATTTACTATTTTTGTACTTGTCCTCAAAGATATAAGTTAAACAGATGGGCAAAAAAAAGAATTTGGATTTATTTGAACAAAGTTCTAGAGTCACTGTTGGGTAACTATCATCTCATATGCATAGCTTTCCAATCAGATGGTCCAGCTTGGCCAAGTATCTCAGAGATGACACGACCTGTTTAAAGTTTCAGAAGACAAGCTGAGATAGCTATATAAGAGACTTTAGCTCAGATTACAGAGTTGCTCATCCTGAGACAGGGCAGGAAGAAGCCTTGTGAGAAAACTGAAACTCCAGAGGCTGACCCACAGAGAGTTGAGCCAGCATAAACTAGAATCAGACATGACACAACCCCTAGTCTTGCTGTCCTAATATGAACAACTCATATCCAGCATAGTAGATCAACCAAACGTTTATGATCCCATTTAAATCATACGTAATGATATCATTGCCAAAGAGAAGCAACATTTAGCAATCCAATCCAACAAATTAAGGATAAATTCAAGCCAAATCTAAATTTGTCTACTTTGTGGGGACTTGGTCAAAATACACACATTGAGCATCCAGAAAAACTCTACAGCACAAATAAATTTCCAGCAAATGAAGTGAATAAATCAGGACCTGAGCATCAAATGGAAGTCATCGAAGGTTTATCCATAAACAGACTGAAAAACAGATAAGGCTTGCTGAATATGGCCTTACTGCGTGTTGAAGTTGTTCACTATCGTGGCCTCAAGAGAAGGGTCTTTTCTCTGGCTCCAAGGAAATTTTTTTTACAAATGGCAATGATAGAGATATGAATATCTCGTGAATCATAATTCTTGCGATCCGAATCATCTATTCATTGTTGCATTACCATAGTTGTTATTATCTGAAGTTATGGATATGCAGATTATTTTTACAAGTCAGGAAAATAGATGTGCAGAAAAGATGTTGGATGGCATTTAATACCATTTAACAAAGGTTCTAGGCTCTTCGTTAACAATCCAGCTCCTATATCTTAACAAAGTCAGCTATAGTTTCCTTGTT